AGTGGCTGGAGCAGCAGTTGTAGCTTCAGTTGTTGTCGTAGTTGTTGTTGATGGTTGTTGCGTTGTTGTTGCAGTTGTTGTTGTAGCTTTGGCTGTTGTTTGTGGCACCTCGGGAACGTCTTCTCCTGGGAACACTGGGAACAAGCCTCTTCCGAGGGGCCGCCTCGGCCCTTCTTCGGCAGCGGTCGGCGTGGTGCTCTCGTCCCCAGGCTGCGAGTCGGTCGGCATGACGTCAGGACCGTTGTCAGGCGTGGCCCTTGGAGACGGGGTAGTGACGTCAGTGGGCGGGGCACACGTGAAGGCCCCGCAGGCGTTACGGCAGCATTTATCCGCCCCTGCGCAGTAATGGTCCCCGTAACAGGTGGTTGCGCAGATGCCGACTGCCATGGGCGGGATGGGAGGGCACACTCCTGGCTTGGGGGGTACAGCTACGGAAGGAAAAGAAAATCTTAAGTGATCATGCTTTATGAAAGGTTTCATACTGAAGCTGGGTAACATTGGGTAAGTTACTCGAGTAACTGTCTTTTGGCGTATCTTATTATCTGGATGTCTAACCATCACTGACGAAACTTACTACTAGTAGTTTTTTCCCTTCGATATTCAGTTTAACTCACAAATCACTTGGAAGGAAGATGTTGTGAATTCCTACAGTTGTGTAATTTTCGTCCTCGTGTTTTTATAAACCAAGTCTAGTTTTGAGTTTATCTTCATGAAACGACATTGAAGGCATCCTGTACAGAAAGTAAACATTTGACAGCTGTCCATGACACTGTGAAGATCACGCCATTGTTGTCAACACGCTGACAGGATGTTTGTGATTTCAAGCAAGGAGTGAAAAATTCATTGTCGTCTTTCACACATACAGTATAGGTAGCTAATCTTTCAGCATACGTAACGTTACGCGGAGCGCCGAGTCTTTTACTTCTTCTTTGTCATGAGTTATGGTAGTGTTGGTATGGTAGAATTCATTCTAAAGCAAGTTTAAACTGCAATTTCCAACACAAGAAATAAGGAGTAAGTACGTTTTCTTGTACGTAGTTTTCCAATAGTCCGCGTTTTTCTAAGACGAAAAAATTGCATCTCTAAATCGGTAGAAATACCACCAAAACGCACCGGCGGATCCTCGTCTATTCGGAGATGCGCTTCGTAGTTTTCTTTCAATTCGTCTTCACGAGTTTCCTGTTAATGTTTTTGGTGTCGTCTGAAGTATTTCCAGATGGCAGCTGGTGTTGCCCTAGTTTGCTTGTGGGTAAAATGCCAGACGGTTTTCAGGGAACCCAGGGATTTAAACATGACCCAAATATCCTAACTTGAAAACACAAACTTTTAAATCACTTTTTAGAAACGGTAAATGAACTATTGTACACCAGTTGTACAAGGTGCAATGCATGGCAAGTTTTTGCGACAAGTATTTTCTAAATCTGAGAAACTACTCTAAGAGTGAATGAATCACGAGGAGCGTTGTTTAGTGTACTTAGAGGCGATTTTGGCGGGGAAAATGTCACGACTACACTTCCGCTGGAGAAAGTAGAATCTGCACACGTCAAGCAATCACATGGTGTAACCATTAATATTACGACCATTCCATGGCTACCACTAGTAAGTATTGGATTCCAGAATGTTTGTTCTTAAATCTTACACTTTTTGTCTCACTGTGAAAATTGCGACAACTAATTAGGAACTGATCGTCGTGTATATATAAACTAATCAACTACCCAACACTTAATTAGACACTAATTAATGTTTAAACAATCAATAAACACTGATTAGTATCTAAATAGGGTGCCTAAATTTTAGAGAAAAAAAACGCATATTCTCGTTAACAATAGACTGGAGATTAGCCTGTACTGTAGTCACCGCCAGACTCTAGGTAACAACGCATATTCTCGTTAACAATGAACTTCTCCGATTGCGTGAGACATTTTCTCCAAGGAAATTCCTCAGACTGAAATGGATAAGAATTTGATATCCCCAAACGTCGGTTTTGTACGAACCGTTATCCTTGATAAACCGGTGGCGCCATCTCTTAGTTACAACTCAAACAACTGTGACTAATCTTTAAGAAGATGTTGGTTTAGATCTGTTTCAAAAAGTTACTCGATTTCTAAGTCCTTATTTTTACGTCTGTACGTTTTGCTCTCTTTGTGCTTGTATGTCAGATTATCATAATGAGTGAAAAAGTGGATCACTTCGCTAGTGCTTAACAGACTAAAAAAGTTAAACGTAAAGAAACGAGACAGACCCTAAATCTGACTGTCGATTAGCCTGTATACGCGCATAATTTTGAAGGAGAAAATTGTTGACTATTATAAACTATTTTTGCTGAAACTTTTACTATCTATAACCCTTCAGCAAGGCCTGGGGAGGCTAGTAGTACGCAGTCCTGTCCAACAATTAACAAACACCGGATGTCACGACTATACTCGTCTTCGCAAACATCTGAGCGTTGTGCAGAGTTATAAAGAACGTCTTTGGTTATATTGAACCATACCATGCAGTAAGATACTAGTACATGTAGTAGGCAGGATCGTAACATAAAGATTCTTACCATTGACCTGAACATATGGCCTTCTTTGATGCCAGGCTTGTGCGCTGAGTGCCTCCAGCGTCAAGACAGCCAAACACGCGAGAACAAACTTCATGTCGACCAGTCTCTTCAACGTGACGGACGAGAATTCCACAACAAGAAGCGCGCGTACGTGATCTTCCCCTTGTCTCACGGCGAGTGGTAACTTGTGGGGATTTTCTGACCCTTTTATATGATAGGCTGCGGACGTCTGGTCCGACCACTGCGGCGGAAGTGAGGAAGTGAGTGGTGACGCGGGCACGCACGCAGCCCTCTTCCTGTCAAAAAATCTGTCACGTCATCGTGTCGCCACATCCGGTTCATACTATATTAGGTATTAGGTACCTTCGTCACCCCCACCCCCTACCAAAGAATTCTCTTTCAGCACGTACCTCCAAGCAGATATACTATATAGGTCCGACTCAAGTTGTTTTAAATCCCTCCCACCCACATCGAAGGGAGATCAGATAAATGCAGGTTGCTGACCTCTAAAGTCGTACCGAATGCCGCAGAACAAGTTTGAAACAAGCGGGACTCTGCTAGCTTGGAACTGAATCTACACCAGTTTTGATAGAATACGAACTTCAGCATGAGGAAAATATGGCGTGAGGTGTGTGATATTTTTCTGTGTGCGTTTTAATTCAAGGTATCTCATTTCTAGTTGCAATGGTTCATTGCAAATGATTTCTAAGAACAAGACATCTCTCCTTGTATCAAGTGTAAGGTTAAGGACAGTGTTGGTACATGGCACGAGTCCTGGTCATAATGACGTTTGCAGTTTCTGCTTGTGAACGTTGCCAGATTGACTTCACGCCATGCGTGTCCATCCACACGTACTGATGACGCGAAGGCCACATAGCCTGAGTGCCAGCCTCTGTAGCTTTCGTCTGCTCCCCAAGATCCGCAACCGGACGAAAGTTAAAAAGGCTGGCACTCAGGCTGAAGGTCACACAGGAAGCAGTGACGTCTTAGGATGGCACCGGGTTGGCAATAGGCCGATTCTGGGTGTCCGTCAAAATTAGCAGTTTAGCCTCCAAGAGGGTGGCTCTATCTCGGTTAGATGTATGCCTTTCTATCATATTTGTTCACTCCTTTTAGCTATGAAACCTCGATTATTTTGGCGGATTTTAATTACTTTAGTATTTCCATCGTTGCCAAGAAGTCTGTCAGTAGAGACCACTGCAAATAAAGTACATCAATATTGGGATTCAGAATCGCAAACAAGATTATGACAGTGCATGGTGGCAAAGTAAGGACAAACTCGATTATGTTATGAAGTAAACGGTTTTATTTATTTATCAAATGATAATAAGAATGTCATGTCCAATCCAGCGTATCTTCAAAGCGGAAGCTTAAGCTTCTTCTGTAAGAAAGAAAGAAAAAAACTTTTAGTCTGAGTTCAAACATGATCTGTGTGCGAGTATGACATTGTCATTGAAAACTATGTTATCAGATGAAACTCGAACTTAAACCAGTTCAGGTATGATGTCGTTCGTTCACGACATACAGATAGGCGTTACTCATGTAGATGGTTTTACATAATTATACATTTAACGTTAGATGGATTTTTATCATCTCTGTCTGAGAATACACGTTGTCCTAAGCAAGATGACTGTATGACAATAACGTGACCGGTCACGGAGATGTCGCGAAAGAGGATAAGATCGCGCGAGAGAACATTTGGACAACTTATACGTACTTGCAATGCACGTCATAGACGCGAAGTCACACTTGGTGCCCTCCTCGCACTCGGACGTCGCGGGGACTCCGAGCAGCATGGTCTGGTAACAGTTCATGCCCAGGGCTGGTCGAGACAGCAAAGGCAAGGAAATATAAAGGATATTTTACAACTATGAACCATTTGTATTTCCTTACAAATCTGGAACAGAATAATGAAAAATATTTAATGCTGAATTTTATTTTTTTTATAAGAGCTACTATTATACAGAACTACGATCATCACACAGCCTGCCTACAACCAACTTACAATCAGCCTACAATTAGAACACAATAAATTGATAACTAGTCTATAATCATCGTACAGTAATCGTTCAACAAACGGCCCAATAAACATATAATTAGTCTATAATTAGTTTACACTCAGAGTGATACAATAATCGTTTAATCAGCCTACAATTATTATACAATTAGTCTACAATTAGGATACAGTCAATCTGTGTGAAGAAACGTTGTTGGGGATGAATGTTAGCTGGACTCACGGATCTGAGTGATACAGGTATCGCAGCACCCGCACATAGACCCGCCATCTTGGACACGCCCCTCGCAGGTCTCTGACGTCACCTCCTCACACGTCACCGAGTCACAGAAGTTGGGAGGACACAGGATGGCTGCGCATGCGCAGGATATCACGGACAGGAGGAAGATCACGGTCACCTTCATGATTTCTGTAAGGCGTGATAAATGTTGGAAAATAATAAATCGAAATAAAATCGTCGGACGTTGCAAATTGTACTATCTGGAACATTTCCTTTGCATCGTCAAGAAAAAGGCAAATCGACCTGTTGAAGGCTGGTGCTGTGCATACGTACGTACATGTACATCCACATATATATCTTAATAATATCTATATAGTGCGTGTTATGCGATCTCTCCTTGCCCAATGTTCTAATTATAACTGTCCATTCATTCCACATATAGATGACATACACAAGAGGCATATGAAGTTTTATCAGTATGATTTTTGTCCCAAATCTAAGCACAAATGTTTTTGCTAATTAGCGCAAATTGTTTAAAAAAAGCAGCTTCCTGAATTTTAATCGGCGTCCGCCATTTTCTTCAGTGATATGTAAATTTAGAACTACGCAGTTACTGTTACTCTCCAAGCAGAGGTTGTGGGGAAAGATCGTTACCTTTTTATATATGGCGCTTTTTTTTGTCCTGATCCCCACCAACGCGGAGCTTCTCTGGCTAATGGATACTGCCTGGCCAATTTGATACTGTCTTTTTGCCACCGAGAGGGATCTGCTTGGAGATTAAGTTACTGTGAGGAATCGAAGGGTTTACAATGAACACAATCTAGAACTGACTGGCATGGTCTATCTAGCAGCCATTTATCAAAACGTAAATACCAGTACGAAGAGAATATCACTGACCTGTTTGCTGACACTGGATTGACTCCGTCAAAATACGTGTTAGTCCTGAGAGGCCGAGCTCTTGTCAGGTCACTGTTTACATGCAGCTGCCATGGGAACCGCCAGGTGGTGCTGTTTGCATAATGACGAACTTCACGGAGCCACAGAACACACGTCAGCGATGTGCAGAGTTTAGAAGTAAGGGCGAGGTAGGTCACCCTATTTGGTTAAATATCTCTCCAGCTTTTATGTTGATTATAAAGGGCAAATGTGTCTGGCGCCTGCATCGAGACAGGCTAGTCTGCACCCAAGCAATGTTTTCATTAAATTACGAAGAGACCCCCCTCCCCACATTCGTCACAAAATCACAAGATTTTAATTTTTCTTCATATTCGACTTGGCGACATTCACACTTATCTTTTATACACATTTGTGAATTTTATATACATTATAGGCCTTTAATGTATGCCGTATATAGTGAGAAAAGAGGCTAGTACCGTACCGGCATAGCCCTTGGTAAAGTTTTGATAGGCTACTTCCTTTGTATATGATATATTATATTTTCACTTCTTTTCAATATGGCGAATTGTTCCCTGATAAAAAAAGTTTAGATGTTTTCTAATGAAATACAACATGTATTTGTGTGCATTTATGAAGTAAGATATACATGCATCAGATGCACTTTATGCATTTGAAGCATTTTATGCATTTGAAAAGATATTGAAGATATCTTTTCACAGAAATCTGCGCAAAATAACGCTTGCTTTGGGCCATATGCTAGCAAGTATGCATGCAATATTACTTGATAGCATATTGCCTTTTTTCGTAGCTGCTGACTAAAACCAAGCATTTTCTATGGGCTTTTAACACGTGTTTGCCCCTTTTCAACTACGTGCGCCGGAGCAGGTATTTCGTACTAAGCGTATTTGCTGGACCCATAATTATAAAGTCATTTGGGTGGTGTGATTTCATATTGCTGACTTTCTTTGAATTTTGTTTGAAGGGTTGATAAGAAACTGCAAGCGAAGGTTTGCAAGAACGCACACCTTGTAAAATCAACACTGGCGATTGAGCGAGCAAGCGAACGAATTTCGCCATTTGCGCACACGCGTGTGTGCAAGTGTGTACGTTTGTGTGCGCATGGAATATACTAAAAAGACAATATGAATGTACATTTAAAAATCTAGAAATATAATACATCGATATCACTATTGAGTTCTAGCTAAGTAGTTGGGATGAGAGAGAGAGATCATCTTTGAGATAGATCTGTAGAGAGGGATATCATCTTTGAGAGACTCCTGGCGACAGTCTAGGGTCATCGCAGCCATCTACACCCACATGGCACGCGCTTCTGTCACGATCACGCAACGTCAAAAGTGAATAGAATTTCCTATGGTAAAATGTATGATGATGAGAAAAATACCCTGTTGAATCACATTGCAGAATGAAATATTATATGTGATGTGTTTCAAATGGGTACTGTATTTCCCTGGCCATCATACAATACAATCCCAATACATTCACAAGAAGTCAAAACACTTTCCGGAAGTACGAAATCTCCATTTCTCCGCTTTAATTGCCCAGGGTACGATTCCTTCCCTTTACACGAGCTTTATCACTTTGTTGTAGGAAATGAAAGCTCCTATAGACCGTCGACCTGAGACATGGACTCCGCGTACGAACGTGAGGAAATGTTGAATTGGAATGTTATGACGCATGAGTGGTGACCTCGAATTCCTGTCCAACAATACCTGCTCATTACAGAACTACATTCATGTCATGCCTTCACGGAGGTAAATTCAATTTCTATACAATGCCCAGGAGGGATAACTAAGAACACAAATTGAGCGAATAATGCAGTATCATTTATGTAATAAATAAGCTGGATTTCCATGAAAATGATGTTTTGGGGTTAATTGCCCCCTAGGTATATCCAACACCCGTACCGATGTACTCGCAATACTTGGGAAGCATTTCAGAGGTTCCTTTTAAAACAACGCGGACTGTGCTTTTGTGTGTGTGTAAAATTATTGGTTCCTATCCTTGACATACTACTAACAACATGTTTCAGTCAGAAAGAAATCATTTACAAGAACAAAGAAACTGTATCATAGTGCTTCCATTTTTTCTTGATTTTGTTCTCAGTTACTATACTGGCTTACAACGATAAGAGTTGTGATAGTTTGCGTTCAAATTCCTGTTGAGTTTCCCTTGCGGCCTTGTTACTATAAGTGTTACAAACTGCACGTACAATATTAGGTTTCTATATATAGGATAAAAATCACATATATCGTCCAGGAATCGTCTTCAGACCGTGACCATTAATAACCTCTAGACTAGTGTTTTGGCCAGGCTTAGTACTACATGTACTCGCATCGCTTTTCCATGTCAAAAGCCAATGTCAGGCATTGTCTGAACGAATGTAGCAAATACTAGACTCAATAACGTGAAAAAATGTAAACCTCACCATCAAATGTTTCTTCACTCTTCCCAACTTTTATTCATTCCAAGATTATACTTTTAGGATCTGTCCTGAGAGAGACAACATAAATACCTTCGTAATGCCAGCGTTAGTATCATTTTCATAGACACCATTGTCTTCCAAGTAAATTAATTTTTCAATATTGCTAAACGTGCGCGTTTGGGACTGAGGTCTATCGAGTTGTTTTCATCCAAATCCGGCACAGCCGGCTTGGGCAATCTACTCAGCGAAATCCACACCTGAAAAGAACAAAAAGATAAGTAAATGCATATTGAATACACATTCTGTCGAAAAACAACACATGTCATAATGCGTAAACATCACATTCGCCGCAATGTTGGTTTTCCGAAGCACTTCTGTGTCAACAATGGGACAATAAGATGGCGGGCAGGATTTTGCTATGGACGTTACAAGCAATCTCAAAGTTTCAAGTGCGCATGTGCACAATTAAGTGAGGCATTGTGGTCTAGGTCAAAGTTCCTTACGGACAAATGACCCATATCAGTTTTTTTAAACATTTTTTTTCTATTCCAACATTTAACATAAGACATGGTGACGGCACACTCAAGTTTTTTAAACTTAGACAATGCTCATTTTCATCTGAGTCAAGTGAGGAAAGTCGTGTAAAGTGCCTTTCCTAAAGGGTACAAGATCGATGGCATGGCAGGGTTCGAACTCGGGAGCCGAGCGCTCTGCCATTCCGCCACACGACCGACAATTAAATCAGAGTTGACGGCCGTACCTGTTTCCGTGCGGGGAGACCACACGCCGCGCCTGAAGTAGACCGGCCTCTGGGCCGCGGGGCGCCGGCTGGTGAAGGTCCTCGGCAGCCCGAGTAGGTAGCTGAGAGCCAGGGGCGACCTCCGTGTGTCGATGCTAAAAGAGGAAAGAAAACAAACATCAATGAGCTGAGTAAAAAAAAAAAAATTCCGCATGGAGGAAGTAGCTAGACACATCATGAGAAGTGCCAGGCTGATAATCTGTATCTGTCTGCATCGGCATAGCCGGTATAACCGCCCTTAAGCGTGACACACCAGCCTCGCAGGAACGCGGCGCGGCGGCAGCTAGCTATATCACACCGAACGACTTGTTACTCTCAGTCTTTGCACACTGTTAATTGCAGGAGTTGTTTAAAGCTTTCTAGTGATGATGCCCCAACTGTGCTTGGTGGCAACGAGTTCCACTCTACAATAGTTCTGTGAAAATACGAGTTTTTGAACACCTCAATTCTTGATTGATGAATCTGATATTTGAAGGCATGGCTGTTTCTTGTTATTTTCTGGGCTTGTATAAGATGCTTAGTGGTTGCTTTAGGTGGTAAACGTCGGAAGGAGGCCGATGGTGATGATGGTAACTACAGCTAGGTAGCAGATTTTATGGAGTGAGTTCAGATGTACATGTCACAGTAGCTATATACTTCGGAAAAGACTAACCTGTCTCTGTCTTGGCGCGGTTCGACTGAGCCGTGGCTCCTGGCGTACCGGTGAACTATCCACCAGTCGCAGGCGGGCGGGCGCATGGCGGAGGGCAGGGAGCAGGGGTTATCCGTCCCCCGGCCCACCGTGTTCCGCCTCTCCGGCACCCACTGCTTCCGGGTCAACACGGCGGGGTCACCAGCCATTTCCGGTGGGAGCACCCCGCCCCAGGCGTCGGGCGCCACTGCGCAGACGCAGGTGCAGAAAGTCCCGACGAGAAGGATGCTGAGTATTGTGCGGTTATCTGGCATTGCTGTAGATTCAACAAGCAAACAAACAAACAAATGAAAATTCATTTCTGGACTGGAATCTAGTTCAGGACAACTGTGATGGCGCTCACTGTTGATATCAATTCAAAAATGCACTTAGCAATACAACGGTGTTGATAGGAATGCTAAAAAATGATAACGTTATGGTCTCTAGAGGACCATGGTATAAGGATTGGAAAAACATGATATGGTCTCTAGGTCTATAGAAGACCATGGCACAAGAATTGCTACGACACGCATGGTATGGTATAGATAGAGGACTGTGGCAGAAGGACTGCTAAAACTTCATATGGTATCTATAGAGGAATAGAGAACGCAAGGAATGCTAAAACATGACATGGTCCCTAGGGGACTGTGGCACAAGGATTGCAAAAACTTGACATGATATCTATAAAGGACCGTGGTATAAACATTGTTAAAACATTACATGGTATCATATGATAGAATGATTGCTATAACATGATATGGTCTCTATAGAAGATCACGGCAATAAATGTTGTTAACTACGGCAACAAGAGCTGGCAAGAATAACATTTTCTCTGGAGAACCATGGCATCGGCATCATGGATCGGTAAGCACGATTCTATTCCCAGAGGGCCATGGAAAGAGTGGCATGTCTCCAGGAGGGGCAACAGGGTTTGCCAAAATACGATACTGTCTCAAGGGAATCATGGTAACAAGCATCAATGGCAACGACGATTGCCAGAACACGATATTGAATGAGTGAATGTAAAACATTGCAGCCGCCTGGCTTAAATACGTCTCACTTACATGCAACTCACTTCCATAGATAACTTAAGATATTACAGTATAAAATATGATAATACATACAGTGACTGGACATCGGGGTGTAGTTCATTTGGCCGTCAATTTACAACATGTCATTTGTTCTTATTCAGAAGTCTTAAGTTACATGTATCAGAGATGGTACGGAGCTATTTTGATATCGAGTGGAGCGGCAAGGTGCAAGAGTCCAGAAATCCATGGCGATAAGAATTGCACAAATGAAATATGTTTTTCAGCGAACTCCAGCAACAAGATTTGATAACGAAAATATGATAACGGAGTCCGGAAAATGACGACCAGATGGTTTTGTACATTATGACATCATTTGGATCATCGAAAGCATCATGACTCCATCTAGATTGTGACGTCTTATCATAATCCATGACGTCTTATCATAATCCATAGCGTAAGTCTAAGTGGATGAAAATAAAACCGCTTTGCTATAATTGAAAAAAAATAGCGAATAAAAGCTACAAATCATGAGAGAGGGAATTACGAATTTTCGCCGTAATGATCTTATGACGCAGATTTAAATGATAAATGAGACCACATGAGTATCATTAGGTTGGTGTTCTAGTTTGCACAGCCCGTCAGAATTGTGCAGTCCTTTCTTGTACATCATTAAGAAAGCAAAGCAAAGAACACCCACAAGAATACTGTTTTACTCGGACGATGTGTCTGAATCCTGGCCGCTGTGCCGATTTCCTAGAACTAGACAAATCTTTTTACCTGCTAAAAACTGAAGAAATTCAGCTGCGTCTCCCTATGTGCGAAGACATAGATGTGCGGTATATATGAGACAGTTGTAGCTATGTGTTTTCATTCAAAATGTGCAGTCAGATGAAATAAAAAGAAATTGCATACACAGGAAGGAAAATGTGGTAAGTCTTTTTCGGCTTCCAGGGCGCATGGGGCCTTTACGTATTTGCATTGAAGTATATGATAACTATTTCCTCTGTCATTTATATATACGAAGGCACCTCGAGGCAATTGGTGAGATCTGACAAGATTGCTTGCTGCCCGCTCCATGTTGGGCTTCATGATAAAATGTAGTATCTTAGCCTGAAGCAGACTTTACAAGACTAAAAAAACCCTGCCAGTTTTCAACCTATTACAGTATTAGTGTGCTTTTCTTTGCTAGTTTCAAGAACGAAGTAACCGTCTCCGCTAAACGCAAACATTTCTAGACAACACAAAGATACCACTTAAAGTGTTAAAGAGTTAAAAACATACCTTTTTGGCGTCTTCCTTGTTCACTGATCGCTGAAGACAAACTGTAGCCCGGCGTATCCCGTACCTTCTGCACGGGAGGAGTATCTGGGAGCCCTTTTGTTACTGACTGTACTTATAGTTATACAATGACGCACGGACGGGACAATCGCAACAAGTTCTACAGCAGATCTTAAAAGAATCAGTTTGTTTTGATCAGATCTAGATACCTTACTTTCACGGACATTTTGGAAACAGCGCTAATACAAAATAGCGCTCCCCACCACGGGAAAAAAAAACGAATGAAAAACTACCACTTTTTCTTCTTTATGTGCAACCATGGTACATAGCGTTCCTTGTTCTTGTAAAACTGACATCATTTGGAGACAAGAACTGAACTTTTTGGTTTAGTCTGGAGAGCGAACATTCCGAACATCACAGTTGTCGTCACAGCACGTGAGTAAGGAATTAACGCTGAGAATACGCATGTACGGGGGATGGAGGGCCTCCGGGCGGGGGTACGCGCATTGTACTGTCACACACTGGCTGTCAGGATGACGTGTACAATTGGAATTAATTGTGACCACGAAAATGAGACTTCTGTCCTAGTCATGACAACGAAAGAGGAAAGAGTGGATCTCCTGTTTACATATAATTATAAACCATCTTTCGTAAGTCATATGAGGAATGTTTGATATTACAAGTAAAAATTAAAAGAGATTCTTGAAATACATGTATACATTCTGCGTAGATGGACCCAACAACAAGTTAGAACTCTACAGTAGATTATCAGTGAGACACCTTGTTCTACGTTCACTGACTGCTCACGCACGCTATAATTTTTATCATCTACGTGATTGGTAATTAAAGAATATTATTATTATTAATATGTCCTGGAAATGTGCCATACACCGTATGTGAAGAACAAAGGAATTTTCCTTATAAGTGGATAGCCATTAATTACTTCTTCAGTTCTTGGAAGCCATTTGGAGTAATTAATAAGACAAGACATTTATTATAGTCATAGAAGGTTAACAAAGGTTACGTCTTTGACCCGATACATCTTGTGTTTTGTAGGAAAGGGATTAACTTGAGTTATTCTAGCCGTACCAGAAGATGAGTGAGACACATGGGGACAGACATGACAATGCTGACGGATGTGCCTGTGAAGTTGAAGTGGTATCGTGGGACTGAGATGAATTGTTCTGCTCTTGTTTAGGACCTCTCTAAGAAACCTGGAATCTTGATGATGCTTTCGATGTCAATGGTGATTAAAAGAGTTGATTTTGTTCTTAGGGTTGTTGGGATAGCATTTAAAGGTTCCGGGTTCGATTCCCTAGTAGACGCCTATGTTGCCCCTGAGAAATGATCTTTGCACCTATTCCCTCACTAGACTGAGCTACAAATCAGTATAGTTTTGATTAGGAATGTAACTCTTGCGGATGTGACGTAAAGCGGAGGTCCTGTGTTAGATGTGAGTCACACCTCAAGCATTAAGATCCCACCGCGCTCATGGTAAAGAGTTAGGGTCCTTCCCGGTGTGAGTGGATTAGAGCTTTCAGAACTTTTACTTACCACGGGAGTTACATCTGGTCGGGTTTCTTTTCGTACAATTTATATTAATGCTGTCGAAGAAAAATATGTAGATCATAGTAAGCACTGAAGTTCATTTCTCGAAAGATAAGTAAATTGATTCATGCACACCGACCCAAACCTACCTGTAAACATACGGCCCAGTAACAGGTAGTCAACTGCGCCGAGATACCAATGTAAGTATTTTGAAGCGCTCGCTTCATTTCAGAAATGTTATTAAGTGCCAAATGTTATTGTTATGTCATCTGCATATTTCAATAACATACCAAATCATCGCTTCAAAACATTCCTGTGAGAATTACTCATACGGCCAGTTGACGTCATTTGCATGGCCATATGATCACATGACGTCCTTTGCATATTTCAATGACAAGAGGTATTTAAGTTCCCCATACCAAGTCAACCCTTCAAAACATTCCTTTGATGATAATTAGCCATACGACATTTCTATCATAATATACAGATGAGTGTAGAATATCAAACCTTCTCGAAGATTCTCCAATATAGCAGGGCTAATTCACATGAGGTGAATAACGTCAATTGGAAACAATCATTTTAGCTAATAACTTTTCTGGCAGGAAAGTGCCTACAGAATAAAAAGAAATATATCATGTGAAGCTGTTAAGAAGCAGAGATCTACAACTTTTATAAGAAAGCACTCACGGCTCAAGTCTTCCTCGCAAGTGCCCTTCTCCTTTGACCCATCTTCTGAAGAAAATCTATCTAGAGCCACTATCGGCAGCCAGAGGCTGGTGCGTTTGAGACAGTCCACTGGTTAAAGCTCTGGGGGTATTAGAAGCTTTTCTCTTCTTCCAGACTAAAAGTTCAGACTCTGCCCCGAAAATCCAAACTTTCATAACCACTATAGAATAAGACAACCTCTAGGGATTGAAAGTATTGGCCGTTGTAGACGATAGATGTTCTGTATTTACGCGATATTGTCTTTCGTGTGAGTGAATGTCACTGGCAGTCCACTGTTTAAACCTCTGGGGTATTAGAAGCTCTTCTCTTCTTCCAGACTAAAAGTTCAGACTTTGTCCCAAAAATGCAAACTTTCATATTCTTTATAGAATAAGACAACCTCGAGGGATTGAAAGTATTGGCCATTGTACACGATTTCTGTTCTGTATTTGCGCGATATTAATGTATTGTTTTTCGTGTGGGTGAAGTGCACTAGCAGCCCATTGTTAAAACCTCTGGGGGTATTAGAAGCTTTCCTCTTCGTGTAGACTGAAAGTATAGACGCTGCCCAAAAATTCAAACTTTCAGAGAAAATAATTTCATTGAAAACAATTTCTCACTGGATGAATAGGTACTCCAATAGTACCCAAGTCTTGTTAGTAACTTGATTTGAAACTACAAATATGGCCAGAGTACAGTCCTTGCAGACCGATCCTAAATTCCGCGCTACACACTAAGATCTTGCAGTCAAATGATGTACAATGCCTTTGGGAAATCAAAGAGTTTTCCATATAGCTTGGGGGTCGTTAAAGGCACGATGAAGATTATGAAGTGCAACACTTTATGAAGTACAAGAAGTCCTGTAGACCTTATCTGTTGAGCTACCATTGCCTACACACGTACACTGGATTTGACCAGATCACGATTGCTTTGCCCTTGGTTGATGCCGTAACTGTTGGAGCTTGTTGAAGATGTTATCGTCGCCCCGCCTTTTCCCGTGTGTTTTACGCTGAGGTTTCCAGACAATCCAGGCAACATTTTAGAGACGTTCAACCTTGACCGCCTATTCGTTCTGATGAAAGGAGAGGCTAAAATGCACGTTGGAGAATTGATGAGAATACGTGATTGTAAAACTTGGAAGTGCTCACACTAGTCACAGTCCCTGATCACATACATGTGTCTCAGATAGCTTCAAAGGCCGATCAGTTAAGTAGAAATACAGCTTTTAACAACACTTTTGCTCAGACAATGTTTTATTTTGGTGACGCCGCCGATGAAAAAGATAAACGCTATATAACTATGAACAGTCTGAGTCGTTGATATATATTATGGCCAAAACACGTCACTTCTCTTAGATACCAATCCCATTGCAATTCTACAGTTTATGCAGCATGACATTGTGTTTTCAATGGATGGTTTCACACTACAATGGCACAATTACTACCTTCTAGTAGCTTGTAACGTTTTGCCATAATCCATTCGGCGTTTTTGGCGATTTCCGTATCCTTGTGATGTCTGCTTTCCATGTGGGTGAATGTAGAATAAGGCAACCTTGTCTGTCCTCGAGGAACTACACTGAACGTATTGATCGTTTTAAACGACTTCTGTATTTATGCGATATTGTTTTTCGTGTGGGTGAATGTAAAGTGAGGAAAGCCCGAGGGACTTTCGTAAAGGAAGTATTGACCGTGATGCTAGTGGGAATTACCCAGGATTTATTGGCTAAGTTGCTGCAATTATCGTTGTAACGCAGACTGCGCACATGGAACGCCAAGTACATAATGATGTCCAACATACCATAGATCATAGGGCTGCATTCTTAATTGTCAGTGGTTGAACATGCAACCAGTTAGTTTTACGTTTTTGTTCATTATTGTTTGGGTATGGCAAACTGTTGCTAGCTCTGTTCTGTCAAATCATGTATCAATCAATCATCCAATCAATCAATACCTTTTCTATCTAATTATCATTGATTCTTATTAATTCTTGATTTTTTTATGGTGTCTTATAAGCCCACATGTTCTTAACGCATAACGCGGAAGATTAATAAATAACTTCATTCAGACGTTTATTCATTCATTCATACGTCGGTTACTATGAAGATCTTGAGTGCCGAAAGGAAATGGTAGAGAACGATCTCCGACCATGAACCACAAAAGACTTGATCAGATATTGAAAAGAGCGTAAAAGGGAGCAGAGGAATTTGAAGCTACTCATGTTCACAGAAGCCCTGACCATGAGTGACTATGTCTGTCTCCTGCATTAGACCTGTGTGATAAGAGGTGATATATGCAGACATGAAGGCACCATCTTCATGAATCTAACGGAACTGAAATCTGTAACCAGAATGTTCAAGAAAGTAGGGACAAACTATGAAAAGAAGATGAAATATCAAGATTATTATGATTGAAATATTCTTCATGGTGTAAAACTGTGGTGGACACCTCCAAACCCTTACAAGCATGGTGGTAGTAGAAATGTAGAAATGTAAATATGAATCTTTGTCTAAATTTTATTTTATGACCTCTGACCTCTCGGTACTACTTGCATGTTGTGTGTGGTTATGTAGTTTGTAGTTAATCCTTACCATGTTGTGATGATAGTAGTTTGTAGTCAACGACTCCAGGAAGAATAGTATGTATGGCAACTGTACAGACTAATGGAGATCGGTCTAATAAACAATTATACAAACAATTCATTCATGAGGAACTCAAATAGGCCTGCAGGCCGCTTTTCATTGAGGTTATGAAGGAATAGGTAAGGGTCAGATAAAATATATAATTTTATATTATTTAAAGTCCTGATAATCTATACACACATTTTTACACATACATGCATATATGGTACGCAAAACGCGCATAAGCTAAGAGTAAGAGTCGCTTAAATGAAGCCATAGTGGGACCTTGCGTGTGTCTGGTGGTAGACTGTCCCAGACAATGGACCCACGGTAGCCTATACAAATGTACTAGATCTTCTGAAGTTTTGGAACAACTTCCTCGCTGAGGTTTTGGGACAACCAGTTGTGTGTTGCCATATCAGGCTGGTGGAGACTATACAGCAATGTAGCTACAGACCATCTCTGGCAGAGCATATCCTGCTCGGTGGAAGTAGCATTATTGCAGTCACGTCGCCGTGCTCAGTGGGTGCGCCGGGCCGACCCCCAGTCTCACCCGCACAATCACGGCTTTACCCCGGGGACTTCACCACCGTCACCACTGGCAGGGGTCAGCTACCGGAGCAGCCTGTGCTGCATCATGGTGGGGCCATTAACAACAGCATGTTGCCATCTTACCTGCCCCCTGACTGTATTCTACGTATCCGGTAAAATTATTTACATGAAGTTGAGAGTTTCATGGTCACTCTAGTTAGTTATGAGACCGAACGAAACAGGTTATTCTAAACAGTTGCCATAGATTTCTTCTAGATTTTACCAGGTAGAAGACCATTGGAAGACTTTGTCTCACAGAGCCCGTATGCAGTCATTATGCACACCGGCAAACATGGCCGGGCCCTGGTGTTTTAAAGATTACACATGCTGAAAGCGGCTTGTTCGTGATAAACCACTTGATGCATTTTTTTTTCACATATAGCAAGTAAAGTGGAAAAATTTGCCGCATGCCAGTACTAGAAGCCACACTAATGGGAGCAACCAATAGGGCAACGTTACTTGTGACGTGACTTTTTCTGTCCAATCATATCCCATGCTGTCTTATTGTTTTCTAAATGGAACTTTAGAGAGAAACTTTGTCTTGCAGTGCCATCTTGCGGCTTTTATGGTTACGGCGGACATTTGGTTGGCCAAAATGTTCTGTCACTGGACGCCTCCTAGCGATATTACTACAAAACTGCACGGCCTGCTGGCCTCAAATACAGAGTATGTTAGAATTTCATTACCTCAAAGCTTTGGTATGTACACGACTGGCCAAGATTGTCGTGTATTTTCCCCATTAGAAGACATTGCTGACATAAACCCTTTCCAACGACAAATATCACAGGGCCCTGATCGTAAAGAGGGGATTTGTAGGTGGTCTCCTATGCATAATTATGTTAGTCGAGGGCAGCAGGTGTCAGCTACACAGGTTACTAACGAGATGACCTCTCCACCTTACAACTAGCCTTTCATGTCTAGTATAGTACAGTGGTTTTGACGCGCGTTGAAACAGTGACGAAACTTTAAAGAATTGCATAATATTTAGTAGTTATACTACCTTAGTAAACATGATAGGAAAATAGAACACTAAAAATTATAGAAAAGTCGGACACAGACATAGTTTTCAAAAGCAAAGTCTTCTTGCAAAGAAGTCTGTTGAGATGCCAGAGTAACATCAGTCAAAATATGTCAAACGTAAAGATGTGACAAAGAACATAATCCTGTGCGTTTTAAACAACATTATATAACCAGGACCCTTGTCATTTATCTTAGTTTCTGTACCATGATTCTAGTGTACACGATCAAAAAATTACCTCAGATAATCATAAAATCGTACATCGTTCTTTTAGAACTATGACCCATGCACTCTGACATCTGACCTTAGTGACATGACGTCATGAACATAGAGTGTCACACAGAGTGTCGAAAATTCAATGAGTTTCCATTTTTGAGATTTCTTTTTATTACACAGATTTGCATTTCTTTAGGTCATTGTAAACTAAATCCTGCATGAATTCATGAAAAGAACCAAGTAGGATTCTTAATGAAATCAATTAAGTATCCAAGTTATACTGAAGGAGAAATACAACTAGCTCACAGTTGATGAACAACCACGTCAAAATGTTAGTATCAATAATCTGTTTGGTGTGTCTAGAAGTTTGCATCGCAGAAAAGTGTTATCTGTGACTGTCGTTCCCATGGTTGGGGCGTTGTCGTTCTCGTTCCCATGCCGTCGCCTGTACCTGTGGTGGCCATCGGGAATGCGTCTTTCCAGGTCCTGAACAAAAATAAAATTCTTTATATTAGTCTAAAATGAAAATAATAAATGAATACGGTCTGCTAACTTAATGAATTGAGAAGCAAAAAAAGTGGGCTGAAGTAAAATGGTAATTAACTACGGACTAGATACATTACGTTATAACATGTTGTCGACTGTATCTGTCTACCGAGCTACAATATTCTTCTCAGCAATAAGATTTCAGAAATTCGTCATGGTATACCACAAAGCCACATGAAAAAATTAATGGTAAATATCTGTTAATTTTAACAAAAATTAAACATCTCATCAATGGAACGTGGACATAAAACTTAAACACTACTACTAAATAGATGTGCGTTATGTAAAATTTGTAACCGTCCTATTTTAGAAAACTGAAACAAAAAACAACCAATTAAGATAAAGGGGGCATTATAATGATCTTCTATCATTATGATGACTAATTCGGTATCATTTTACATGAGTAGTTCTTACGTACATAGACGCCTCAAAACACTTTGATTGTTTTTCTCGTCTGACTTATTTGTGCGGTTGAGAACCTCTAATTGCCTCCTCTATCTCATGCGCAGCGTAGTGGTAATGAATTAAGCCCTCGAGCAGACAACCTGTCAATTAATTAAGGTTGATTGCACAGGGGAAAGACCGGGGTTACGAAAGCCGGAAGGGCATTGGCACAGTTACAAAGAGACGTGTAGAGCTCAGTAGTTGCCTAACATACGGGAGGAATGTAGCGAAAAGTCATTCATGATTTACCAATGATCACAAAAACATTAGTTTTGATTAACATTTTGTGTTTCAAACACGTAAATGGATATAGTGCTTTAACCTAGTTAGTCTGAAAATCAGGTGTAATTCAATAGCTGCAGTCCAACTGGTCCATATTGGATGTCTGCGGACCAGTCGTGGAGCAGCCAAGCCAGAACGGCTGGGGTTGAGGCTATAGGTAAACTGGAAGGCGCTATGTTCTACCTTTTCCGTTGTTAGAACATTTTTCCCATCAGCACGTTCCTGAGGTTCGGCCTCTCGCGGAGTGATCTGGAACCCTCCTGCTCGCCCTCTGCGAACCGCTTCACCGCCTTGCCCTGCTGCTTCGCCGCGATTTCCCTGAAATTGGCACATGTTGATCATAATCTAAGTATCTAAGTTGGGTATACATTCGAATGGATTTTGATATTACCATTATACCATATACCAGGAAGGAATGGGATAGAATAGAACATTATAGAATGAATCAGAATATACATAGAATAAAACAGAGAACAGAATAGACAAGATCATGAGAATGGAATGGAAAGGATCAGGATAGAATGAAGCAGAATAGAACAGAACAGAACAGAATAGAATAGAATAGAATAGAATAGAATAGAATATATAGAGTCGAACAGGATAAAATGGAACAGAATAGAATAAAACAAAATAGAACAGAATTGACTAGAACAGGATAGAATGGGATAGAATAGACATGACAGAACGGGCTAGAATGGAATCAGCAATAAACAATAGAGACGACTCACATGAGCATGTGGACCAGCCGCCTGCTCCGATGGTTGGGCCGGGGGTGAGCGGTGACCAGGCCGCCCCGGCTCCACCTGCCGAAGTAGTCGCAGGACGGAGACATGAGGTCCGGCGGGCAGTCGTCCTGGGCCCGCACGGCGTGAACGGTCAGGATAGCGGCCAGGAGACACGGAAACAGCAACACGGTCTGCATGGTCTGTGGGAAAAATTCAGGATTTACGTCAATAAAGAAGCGACAACATTTGTACGGAAACGCCATAGGTACTAAATGATATGAACCTGCTAGCCTACAGTCATATTTTCCTAAACTTACATGATCAAGCCCCATTTCAAATCTTCATTCCCGGCAATTCTAGATTTTTCCCCAATTTCTCCAGTTTGAAGGTTTATACCGTTTGTAACGTCTACCTTACCTTACTCTTCAACTTTGCGTCGACCAAACCAATAACGACCGGAGTATTTCGGCTCAGAACGAAAGGAGAACAGGCACGGTGATAAGGAAGCGCAGGATCCTATCTAACTACACCGATGAAATGATTCGAAAGAAAGCCGAAATTGAGACTGACTTCTCCAGCTCGGGGATTGACTAGTATCTGAGGCCGGACGGACAGAAATGCAGAGAGCGGCTAGTCTGCACGATCATTTAATCTGACTGGTCCACGTAGGAGGCTGGGAAGAACAGAACAGAGAATTGTCTCGTGAGACCCGATCCTCCTACGTGAGGAGACCTGATGTTTGTAGTGCAGGACATCAAAGTTCCGGCCTCCCCCTGCACAGCTCACCTCTACACGCCCGGTGCACCTGTAGCACTAATTGGCTCCGACCAGGACGCCAATAAGCCCCGATTCAGAACCCTTTACGAAACCACGTCGCGCGTCATCAGAGACTAGCCTCCCGTCATGTGTGATTGCTAAAAACACGTCGTTTCCTGTGAGGTGTGCATCCAGAGTTATAATTTTTGAACAAGATGGATGACAACTAAGAGATGTTTGAAATTGCTCTGCCTGAAACGATTCTGTGAAGATTAAAACATGAAAACACAGAAGTGGAGAAAGAACTCACCTGAATGTGATAGGCTGCTCTAGACGTAGTGTTAGCGCGTTTGATGTAGATTTTCCCTGACTTTGGAGAACTAATCAATCGTGGTAGTAGATAGTTTGCGCGAGGTTTCTTGCAGTTCAGGAGGTTGAAATTTGAAATTTTGAAGACCGGGCTAGCGGATGCTTTAGAAGATTAGTAGTCAGGTTGATTTGAAGTTCTCCGTTGCTGTGACGCAGTGAGGTCTTGGTGAGCCCGCTGTGTAGGCCTGGCACCGACCGGCCGGGCTTATATAGCCAACCGTCGCCGCTTGAGGTCCGCCTCTTATCTCCTCCCTACCTTCAGGTGGGTCCAGTCTTTGTTCGGGACAAGTCTGTTTGCGAATACTTGTCTCGACCTATGGTTCATCGGCTAATGGGAGGAAACGGTGTTTAAAACATTCACAAACACTGGGTCGGAGATAAGACTGGAGACCTATTAAAGAGACCAGGCAAGGCATTGCTCTCCAACTCATGCTACTAATGATCTCAACGAATTCTCAGAAGCGCTCCAATTAAGAAACAGACTCACGGACCTGGAATAAAGATGACAAAGAGACGAGCCTGTTGGTTTGTTCTGTAGGGTTGTGTAAGGGACATATCGTTTGATTTCGTTAACATTACCACTAGTGAAGTCTGCAAAATATTACAAAGAGTGTCTAGGGGCAACACATATCCATATTTACGTACCAATCGTCTTCATTTTCTTAAGGAAGAGACGGACAAAAAGATAAAAGGAAGACAAGACCATCGTACGGTGGCTTAATAGACGTTAACTTCCGTATATAAGGTTAAATGCATATAATCAATTCAAGTTGTTGTACGTGTATATTCATATCGCAAATAAGGGCTAAGTACAACTAGAATAATATTACCAAAAGTACAGAAAGGTAAATAGACTTGGGCTGACTTATCTCAGAATCCTACCCACGAAATGTACCTGTATAGAAATGAAGTCAATTGGAGCGTCTGGCAACAAAAATTAAAGACACTAAATGCTGCTATACCTAAGGTGGAATCCTTATTTTTCAATCATGGTTTTAAGATGTGGTATTTTAGTCACCAATGGCCGCTACAATCACAGTTCGTTGAAATCAGAATTATCTTTGTCAAGGCATATCAGAAGTTAATGTCCGCTAATTGTTGGGTGATTGAAGCTTCCTTGTACGTCATTTGAACTGAGGCGTGACCGTTACACGTTGAGTTACTATATAGCTATAGAAAGAACAAGATCTCATTAGTGATGCAAAGCGAACGAAGTACTAGTATTGTAAGTTTTGTGTGCTTTGTTGCCTTTTAAATCATACTTCTACCGCATGAATCATATTCTTTCTACTAAAGCCATTGGTTTTGTAAATTAAGATGGATCCAGTTTAATTTGTTCACTCACTGTTCTAGAAAGGGGAGTGTAGAAAATCAAAGGCTCTACGGACAAGGCCAGACTGGAAACATTCCTGTTAGTAAATTTTGGAAAAGGTGGGACATCACGTCTTCCATGGTCTACAAAAGAGAAGTCAAACCCCTCAGACATAGTTTTAGACATAGCTATACCTTTTATTAGGTAGATTTTGAAGTTATTCTGTACTCTGTTTCAATGTTCTTTTATCATTGTTATTTACAATTAGCCTTCGGGCAGGGATTTTCAATAAACTTATCGGTAAAAAAACGGGCCGATAAGCATCCACTCTACGGAGATATGTACAAAGATAACTCTGGACCCCCGCGGAGCTCCTAGCCTGCCGGGGGGTACAGTTGGAGTGACCGTTACATTTAAAAAAAGCTCACTTCAAGTTGTTTTTCTCACTTATTTACACAATTGTATCTTGATGACACAAAAAGGTGATGATCACGAATTCTAAAAATCGACAGCCTGTGGGGGGCTAGTTTCCTCTGAGACGTCCTTCAACTTTGTATGTGTTTTAAGAGTGTTTAAAAAAGGATATGATTATTAAATTATAAGTTATTTGTAAAACGTTCATGGCCAGTAAAAATACTAAAATACGTTTATCATAAATTTTCAAAACGTAGAATTTAGAGTCGAATTTCTTGCAGAATCTTGTCTTCGAAATAAAATTTAGAAAATGCACAGCCGTTTTTCATATCACATCTGTTATCTACAGTGTGCAATGTACGTACATGTATGCCCGAATCGAGCTCGATATCTAAAAGTATATGTGTACTTCTTCATAATTATAAGACCAATAGATGAGGTAACTGTGTACTTATTTCCTGCTATCTATCAAGAGTCTGCCCAAGGGTTCACTGTTAATTTGCTATTGCATTCCACGTTTGAAAGTATCCGAAGATTAAGACATTTCTAAAATTCTTTCTTCTATTAGACGTCTTGCAAATAGCAACCGTGACGATGACGTCACATTGGTTTCCATGGAGACCACGCCCCCTCGACCCCCCCTGAAGTGTTGATAGTCGCGGGAGGGTCCTCCAAGGACGGACAAGTGCCGACAAATGCCGCCGTAGTCAGAAAACACCCCTATTTCCTTCCTCGTTCCGCTTTAAAAGTGCTTACAAGTACTTTCGTAGAAAAACACAGAGAGTTAGCAATGCTGTCATACCAGCATATAACAGCCTCCAGTTTAATTCTGGACTTCCAGTTTAATTCCGGACTAACTCCTATATCTCAGCAACCTTGCATCTGGACGGGTTAATATAGTAAACTACAGGTAAAATGATAATAATAATAATGATATAAGAAATGCGTGGTAGCCATCAAGGACCCTTTAAGGATTAACCCAATTCTGCAGAATTCTGGAAAAACTGGAGCCTGAATTCTGGACTTGGGTTAATCCCCAAGGGGTCCTCGATGGCCGCTACATATACATATTGCTTACATCAGTTTTACCTATAGTTTACAATATTAGCCCATCTAACGTTAGATGTCAAAGGTTGCTGAGATACAGGAATTAGTCCGGAATTAAACTGGAAGTCCAGAATTAACTGGAAGCTACTTAGTGTATAATGCTATCTATGGTCCCTCAAATGCTAGATTAATGTATGGAGCCCTTAGTATTGTGTAGTGGACATGGCATTACTGGGATAATTGCTGTCAGTGTTTTGAATTGCTTAGCAATTCTCCTAGCATTCCTTCAATTATGCATCTATCAATCCATCCATCTAGTCATACCCATCTATTCATTCCTTCGTAAATTACTGTGCTCTGATCCATGCATTACACGCAGGATATTATATCAGGACAAGGTAACTATTGAAGTAACAGAAACAGTCGTTCATGTTATGTTTGATCCATCACGTTTGTTTCTTTTGATGGAGTCTCGCTGTCACCGTAAAGGTCAAGAGGTCGTGACCCTGCGCAGTGACCCTGCGCATTACACCCTACACCTGATGACCCGCGGGAACTCAAGAAACATAAGTCCAGGACCTACAAAACCTGTGCGTTTCATGTTTCAACCATCAAGGGTTTCTCATATTTTGGCACACATATAATAATTCACCGGAGCACTCTCTGTCGCTTTTGAATAAAATGAAACCTACCATACAGAAGGTACAACAAATGGGCTTTGAACGTCACTCATCTATGCTAAGTTGTAACTCAAAAACCTTTAGTCCTTCAATTTTTCGGAAGAATATAATATAAAGTTTCAAAAAGGCCAAATTCTTACTACTAGTACTTTATCTATTGGAAGATCTGGCCTCGTTTCAACACACACGCACACGCACACAAACACACACACACACACACACACATGCGCGCGCGCGCGCGCACACACACACACATACACGGCAGACACACACACACTCATACATACATACATACACGTACACAGTCATATACTTTGTACAAATAGTTACAGACTTCTCAAATGTCAATGTCACTTATTTCTGGCGCGTGCCCTGTTATATTTTTAAGAGCTCTAATCGAGGGTTATGCCACCGTAGTTGACGAATAACCTATATCAACAGGTGCGGTGACTTACATAGTTTTATGTGGTTATGATAAGATGTGACAAGTAGCGATAACATGAGTCAGCGGTGTAGGATGGTTCACGCTCATAATTATGTGGGAAATGTGGGCTACGATAACTTTGTGGCACATTCCGGGCAAATATACACATTTAGAATCCTTTCCTTGCCAGCTTTATTTATCTCCTTCGTATTGCTAAATTGGGAATGCACATATCAAATAAAATATTAATGTTTTGCAGTAGACTCAAATGCATAATTAGCCTCTATGATCTGTGGGTTTAATATGCGTCATGGCACGACATATGCTGGGATACTAGTATTAGGTGTTTTTACGTGGGCTCTGTCAGAACTTGTGTCAAAGTATTCGTTCCCATTGCAAGCTGGCTCTTCAATGTGCCACGCAGTATAATCTGCCAGCTTTAGATTCTTACTTTTCTAGAAGTTCCATAACAATTGCATATTATGTAGGCGTCTTAGAATAATGTTCTAAGGGCAAATACTAGTAGCTTTCTTATTGTTTTCATGTGGATATCTTGTGAAGTAAGAAAACGCTATTTTCTTGGTTATAATCATTTATCTCAAATGTTTTGAAACAGGTTGGACTTCAGATTATACATTTGTTGTATAATTGCTGTGCGATAAAGTTCCCATGTGTTACACGAACCATGTGTAATCTAAGGCCCTTTTCCCTGTCCGGAATTGTCCGGATCAAACCGAATCAAGCTGAATTGATTCGGTTTGATCCGGCTTGGAACCGGATTGAAGCCGATCTATTTGGTTCGAACCGGACAATTCCATCCAAGCGCCTAACTCTGGTCAATTCTATCCCTGAACACGTGTCGGTACTGTAAAGTATTCTCTGGGTCACAGAACGGTCTATGTTGTTTTCGTCGAGCGCACGCAATCAGGCACATTCCCCGTCTTATCTTCTGTGAAATACTCCGCATAATTCTCTTATCAAACACCGCGGCAGACCACTTCAGACGCCCTGACCTCCGACCTCACGCATCAGGAGCATATTTGTCCGCCGGGTAAAATGGAGGTCAACAATCTCTTTGACCCGTCCTCATTAAAATGGCGACTACCGCAAACTTCTACCGTCACGCTTTCTTGGGAATCTGGAAATGCACATATGATACATGAGGCGGTTGCGTTACTGTACTTTGATTCACACTCCATTGTTAAACCTAAAGGCGTCCAGTACAATTTCTGCAAAAAAAAGAGAAATATTCTGGATTCTTAGCACATGTTCGTGTATTTGAAGCGATTGACATAGCTCAAAAACAAGCTACGTGAGGCATAGCTTAGAACCAGCTTACAATATCAACAAGTAACCGTCAGCGACATCACATTTTTGCCTCATGGATACCAATGACTAATACTACATTAACAGAAATTGACCATACATGAAACTTTATAAATCCAATTTTAAGGCCTTGACATTAAAATTAGTGTCTTTATCTCGTGAGAGTTATGTAAGAATGCTAAAATCAATGCCAAGGAGATGTTTTTACAATATATCCAGCCGAGTTATCGTCGGCGCACGATGGAATATGAACCATATGCCGCCACGTGCCTGTAATGCGAGAGCTCGTGTTTTGTATGACTATATGACACAAGGTTAGATTTTGCAACTTTGGTGCTGGAACCATTCCCTCTAGCAGACCCCCAGGACCCATTAGCACGGTAGTACACCCGTCTGAGAAGATAAACTGCACATCAATATACAATGTTCTGAAATTTGAATTAACAGCCGACAATAAGTTGGAATTGGCAAAACATTGAGCACACATTCAGCTACAATGTAGGCCTATCAAAAACGGGACCTAGTCATTAGATATATAGGACGTCGATTCGTTCATAAGTCTAAACGATAAGAAGTTTCAAGGGCTCTATTAAACGTTCCATTTTATCAACTCAACAGTATTGGCCTAACAATGAAGTCATCCCGGCCACCTAGTAAAAAGGGAAACCACAAGAGATATGTTGATCAAAGAAGCATCTTTATTAGAGGGCTCTTCCATAAATATACATCCAAAAGATCCCGATGTTCTTCTTTGATCTTTTCTGCTTTTTTATATATACCTTTGCTTGTAACGTTACAGCGAAAACAGTCAACCATGTGTGGTCTTTCTACTGTCTTGGGTTCACAGAATGTGTTGTATCAGGATTGATAAAGCTTGTCACAGATTAGGTGACAGACGGCAGTAATGTCTTAGTGTAGCGGTAGCTCCACTTAAAGTGCTGCTATGTGATAAAGATAACAGCTCGGGCGTACAAAAAGGAAACAAACATCACACTAGCCTTTGATCCTACTGCAGCTGCGAAAAGACCGTACTAAGTGTGATATACAAAAGTGGCAGTTTTACGGCTTATATGCTGTAACAGACGGTTGTAGTACCAGTCATCTGGTATCGGTCAAACACGACTTCAGTGTGAAATCTAGAGTGAATAGTTTTATAGTAAGTACCCTGGAGTAGGTGAGGAATAAAATGCCTGCAGCATTAAAAAAACGTAAAAGTACCTGTGTAAGTCCATTGTCGCTGTATTTGTATAAATCATATTTGATTCTTCAAAACAATAAGCCAGAAAACACAACAACTTGGTAAATGGAATAAAAAAGGGTCAAACCTAGGAAGAAATAACCAATTATTGTATATGTCTTCATAACTATGAGTTTGATGACTGAATGTCTAACATATACCGGAGTTTTGCTACTAGATATCTTATGGAAACCTACGGCTTCTAGTAATATTTCAAAGCAGGAGACCCAAGGCCAGCTCGGGCTCTAAGATTTGAAAGTTAAATTTGCTAGGTGTGCAAGAAAAACTTTTGGTAAACTTTGCGATAATTTCCGCAAAGTGTTAAAATCATCATACACTAGAAAACAAAACAAAAAAATTTAAAAAAATAGGATAAAAAAGTAACATATAAAACTTGTCGGAACAAACTTCTCTAAGGGGAGTGACTTTCGTGGTTATCTTTTTAACGTTTAAAGATAAGTCCAAAGCAGGAAATTTAGGTTCTTTCTGTGTATTATGATTATGTTTTCATTAATATTATGTATCAATTTCAAAGGTAGTTAAGCGCCACACTGCGAGTTATCACTGAAATGCAATGTAACACTTGGTTGACGGCTTTGGGTTCTAGCTTAGCCATTGGGCCTCCGCGTAGAGAAAAAGATGAAAGGCTAAACGAACTCAATGTTATGGTACATTAGATTCATACACAATCTCTATGATCTACAACACTGTTTAAAGAATATACAATGTAGCTTTCTCCACAAGTTTCACAGAGGATACAAAGAATATTTTACATCTTGAGTAGAGTCAGCCTCCGGTTAGATATCATAGATATCTGCACTAAACAGACAGCTCGTAATTATGAATAAGAAATAAATAACGTTTAAAGCTTGCGCAAAAAACTCAACAACTAGGGTTGTCTATGCTAAAGAAAATCGGTTCTACTTAGAATTAAACTGGATTATGAATTAAACTGGATACGACTGTCAATGGCTGTTGCATTGGTTTGTTGTTAATGTAATTAAAACCTGTTAACACTGACAACATCTGGGTATGCGTGAACTTTGACCTTATCGTTCCCTGTCTTGTGTGCGACCCTTGACCCCTTTTGGTAAATTGGTGCAAAATTTTTGATGAGTTGATCTTTATCTTTTTCAATGATTGGGAAGTCACCGGTGGTTAAGGCCTTTCAGTATGCTTTGACAATCTTGCTTGTCTCTTTGAGGAAAAATATGGCTTTTTAGAATCAACAATTGTTTTCTTGCTGATTTAAATTGGCAATATAATGCATCATTTTAGAGAGCTTGAAGAAGTTGTTTCCCCCATAAGTGCAAACGTCACCATTTTTGTTATCCTTCATTTCACAAAACGACTGTTTACAGACTTGCCTCATATAGAATTCCAAAGGTACTGCATTCAAAACTTAATACTGTTGTCAAATATGTCATAGATTCTTTTCTTATTGGCAAACTCAGAGCATTAATAAACAGATCATTCAATTTGTAAAGGGCATCTCCAATACGATAAAGATCTTGGTGAGGCAGACTTTATGGTCAAGATTCAAGAAACGTTCCTCCACTGCACGAGCTTCTATCTTTAAACACACCTTAAAGCATCCGTAAAGGCACAGGCCGGGGGAAGGGACGGAACCTTTACGCGTGCTTTAATGTGTGCTGAAATGTCGTGCAGTGTTTAAGTGCGCGAGGGCTCCTTGAGATCCAGTGGGTCCAGAGGGTCGAGTTCAGGCAGGTCGTCCAGCGTGTCGCCCACGAAGTCTAAGAACTCGCGGTACCCGTCCACCGAGCGGATGAAGCGTTCCCGTTCCGCCGCCAGGGTCGCCCTGCCCGCGTCACGCACCATGCGGAACCGGGGGAAGCTCTTCACGGCCAGCTCGTTGGCTGTCGGGATGGTGTTGGCCAGGAAGTCCACCAGCCACTCCGCGTACTCGGACAAGGTCTGGACCGGCTTGGGCGAGACCGGCTGACCTGGAGAATGTACGGAAAATGTCATGTTAGATCTTGAACTTCGAGTTCGAATCCTGCCATGCTACCGATCTTGTGCCCTTGTGACTTTCCTCACACTAAAAATAGCAGTCTACTGTGTTGGTGGTGGCTTTCCACACAATTTTTTCAAGTCGTCTACAACTCAAGACGACTGTAGCTAGTCGACTTTAAAAATCTCTGTATAAAGAATGTTTTACACTCACGTTTCCTGTCGTCTCTAAACCTCGGCGCGGGCTTGAGGACCACCTCGCTGATGGGGATCTCCGCCATCCGCCCGACCTCCATCAGCACCATCTGCAGCTGCGTCTTGATGTCGTACAGATGGTTGATGAAGTCGTCAATACTGCGGATGGAAGATGGCGGCATCGTAAGAAAAGCGTTGCCTCAAGAAAAATCAAAAGCCAATGTGGCCTAGCCTCTCCGCATGGTATGGTGTGGTAACCAGGCTATATGTGGCCTGGTTGCCATCCGTTTTGTAACGGGCTCCTTGCACTCGTTACACTGTTTTTCATTTTTTGAGTACAAAAAACGGATGGCTCCCAGGCTAACGTTATTGCCTTGCACTGCACGTCGTTTTGGTAAAGTGTGATTTTCAAATACATGTGTACAACATACACTACTACTCACTGATTTTTGCCCTTTCTACTTTAACACGGTCAGCGACCAAATTTGATAGTAATGACATATTGATACATGACACACAAACGAAATTTGAAATTTGAGGGATTCCCACCAATGATCACCGCCTCCGTGAAAAATATATATGAGTTTTCTAAACGAGTCACCACCAATACTGTCACGACACGACACGACACGGCATTATCAAAGGTAACAAACAACTTACAACTTCTTCAGTCGGTTGATAATAACTTCCTTTTCTTGACTAGTCATGCTAGTGAGATGAAACAAAGATTCAGAATCAAGTAACAGTCCTATTCACAACGTGGGTGTTATGGTGTTGTGCATTAAGGTACGTTAGATGACGAGTAAAACGGATTAGACCAGATGGTCAGATTTTGAAAATGTCAGACAAGAAACAAGATATCACAGCTCCAAATGAAAAATTAAAGGTCAGATCCATTTATGCTACGCGTGATTTTTTTTTAAACTTCAGCAGATATTCATGACATTTTAAGCGACATGTAAGAGATTAACCTAACACATCCTGAAATGCTTACATAACAATAACACTGCAAAAACCATGCATTCACCCGAAAAATCTGGCCTATGTGAACAGGTGGTCAGTATAGACTGTATTCTTAATAATGCTGGTGTCAATGGAAAAACTATCTGAGACCGCTAGAAATGTTACATTCTTTCTTAGGTGGAGCTGGTCAGTTGTACATGTGCTTGGAGACATTAGCCTGGGTACCGTTTGGGTTAGTTTACAGACCGGTAGTGACTGTAGGAGAGGGATGGTACCCAGGCTACTAAGACATGTAAAGACATGAAAAAAGGCCAACAGCTTGCTAACTCACATGTCCTTTGTCCTCTCCATGGCGTCGCTGAGCTCTCTCTGCCAGCGGATCGATCGCGATGGCTGGTTTGCGAGCTGAGCGTCGTTGATGGGAGGGTCGAACTCCAACATACCAAAGCGTTGCAGCGTGCTGGTGGTGTCCCTGATGTAGTTCATCAGCTTCTCCCTCAGGTTGCGGACGTAGGTGATCATCTCTTTGACATCCTCGGGCTCGGGAGAACCGTTCAGCTTGTCGTAGATGGGCTGGAAGTCGAACTGCGGCTGGTCCGCCTGAAGCTTGTCCAGCAGCTCCGACGCTTTGATGTAGGCATCTATGGAGAACAAGTCATCGGGTTTAGCCTCTGTTGGCGGCTTGGGGGTCGTCGGTGCAAGCTCTGCCGGGACAGGGTCGAGGTGTACCCCGCCGGCTGGAAGGACGGCTTCCGCTGCGGAGTGGTCAGCCTGATCGAGATGGACGTCCACGAGGAGGTGGAGTATGTCCTCGACTTCGCTCGACGAGAAGGCGACGTCCTTCAGCCCGCTGTCTTCGGGAAGAGCGTTAGTTTCCTCCTGCTTGGTGGTGTCGGTCTGTTCGACGCTCGCGTGGGCAGGCCCGAGCCGATCCACGCTGAAGGCGGCGACTTGGAAGGCGGATATCCCCGCTAAGTGCACGATGCACTGTACGATCACGACACAGATAAAGAGCTGTAGGGCCGTCATGTCGGTTGTTGTCTGTAAAACAAGAAAACTAACGTCAAACTTGAATCTAGTTCTCTAGTGACGCTGAAAAAGAGTGGTGGATGTTACTCCCAACGTCCAGAAGTCCAGTACGTAATGTATCCAGTGGTAGAGTTTGAATTTTCTATGAGTATTATCAATTGTTTACCTGGCGGCCTAACCTTCACTAACGTAGCGCGAATCTTAAAAGCTTCGTGATGGTTGACTGTATCCACTCCGGAAATATGTGACCTATATATGTCTATAACACGTGGAGGCGGTCGTTGAATGTCGCACCGTCTCTTTCCCTATGGTAACTAATCCTCCCAGTGACGCCGGCTTTCCTGGATGGAGGAACTACATGCGTAATTCTGGCCGTACTTGCCGCACGGTGCAGACGGCCGCGCGTCAGGCGACTGGCGGTAATTGTTGGAAGTAACCCCGGCACGCGGCTGGACTCCACACCCCAGGGTAACGACTCGTGCTCGTAATGGACCGAATTGAATGCACGCTGTGTGTTCTTAGGCTGGATGTTCTAGCGGGAATCAAATTCCAACCTTCAAAGTCAAGGCCCATGACGTTCATCGGGAAAAGGATGCATTTTCACCAGAGGAAATTGTATTCTGTTGCGGTCCTAGGTGTGAATAGTCCCAATCAGAAACAACCCATGGGTAAAAAGGCTAACAAACTAGATTCAACGGAGCGATAAAAGGTGGCGAAAGCTTTCATGGATGGATTCAAGGCAGGAATAAGGCTAAAAGTAAAGTTTGACGGGGTATGTTTCCAGCATTATGGAAGTACCGAGAGTTAAGATGACGCAACGCCAGTCTGGTACATGCCATGGAATTAAATGATGATGAAACCCCCATGAAACTATTTTTAAAAACAGTAATAATATCCTTTACCCACCGTCAAAGAATAGACATATAGCAAACATAAGCCAGTCTGAGAAGATCTAATGCTACTAATCTAGAAATAAAATAAACTATCTTAATGAAGCACAATGGTATGTCTAACCGGCGAAAGGAAGTTCAGAGTTTGAAAAGATATGTGAAAATGGAATACAACCTTCCGAGAGTTTCTTCGTAAAAGAATCTGCCGTGTCCGGATATCTACACGCCAAACCAAAAAAAGGTACTAGCGATGATTGTTTGCAACTCAATAGACTCAGACGGTTATACAAGACGAGAATTAGACTGAAAAGTCGGGACAAAATGAAATAATGGGCGACGCACCGTCCGCCGGGATGTATATTGAATGTGTACAATCGCGTAAAGTGGGGCAGAGATGAATTATTATCTAATGGAAAGAACACCGTGGGTGGCAGACTGTAACCTTCTTGCTAGAACATAAGAAATTGACGTCACTTCGGCGCCCACCTTTTAGTGGTGTACTAGAAACTCTTTTGAATACAAATGCGCGAAAGTTACATGTAAGCACACCTCAAAGCTGGAGCTTCCTTAAGTGTTAAGGTACACACGAACACAAGGAACGGCGCATTTGCACATGCTTTAGTTGATCCTGTGCTGTGATAAAAGGACCTAAAAGCACGTGGCTTGTCTCGTGGGCTTGAGTTTACTATAGGTCGTTAGTCGTTTGGTGACTGTTTGTGCCAAGTCTGCGAATACGCCGCCAGACTTTCAGTCAGAAAACAGTCTCAGTACAATGAAATACCGGGTTGGATCGGTGAAGGTCGACAATTACATATTTCAATTAAATCTATATAGCATTTCACTTCAAAGTAAATGTTATTAGTCTCGGTCTTTTAGGAGAGCAGTGTTGCTCTGACGAACTTTGAGTCTGGTGTCTCACGACAGACAATTAAAACGCTTTATGCTTGATTACATTTTGATTCGGAGTCTCAATCAAATCATGTCAGACAGTCGAATCAATATCTATAAACCTACAGACGACAAGTTGAGAGAAAACAAAAGCTGACAAAGCCAAGTAAAACTGATGCAACCACCTGCAAATGGCATTTACATTGAGCCGGACGCATGCAGAAAACGTTTAAAATAGAACACTTGAGTGTTTCCACCGTTTGAAAGCTTTCAAATGGTTAGCGGAATAGTTCCTACCTTACACAGTGTAGAGAGGCAGGGTTCTGTTGATGCAAGCTGACGATGTTTTTATCGGATGAGACCCGGTGTCAGCGGTTTGGTCCTTTCGTAAGAAACTGACCAAACGCCTCGCACTGTGCCGCTTTTTGAACTGAGCTCGCGTGGGCTGGCGGGGAGAACTATAAACCAGTCACGAGCACGAGCTCACTAGGATGTGTGCACCCTTCATCCGCTCTCGTTACGCTACAGGTCCGGGAGCCTACACTCACTTCAACTCCTTCATACCAACACCACAACAATAGCAACTAGGAAAATATAGTCAGGTTTTTAATATTTGCTCGAATGTTAACAAAACACGTGGCCAAATGCGATTATTGCTGACAAGCCGCTTGGAAAATTCTGACAGGTACTCGATGGTTTTTGCTCGGTTGTTGGTTGTAGGAGTGGCTGTGGTAACTGTTGTAGGGATTTTCGGTACGTGTCGCCAAATAATGGGACCACCTCGGCGAAACCTCTTGCGGTGACGCAGTAAGAACAAGAGAGCACTTGTGATGGTTGTAAGTGGTACACTGGACGCTTGGTTGCCAAATAAACAGCCCTAAACTGTCCCGAACACCGGTCAGGGCCACGGAAAGACAATCAAAGCCCGGTATTAGTCCCGTGGCATGCACAAGGTGTTCGCTGTTGTGAGCCTACAGACCGAATCTGTTCTAAAGATAGCTCACTTCACACGCACGTAAACACTGAACCAAGTAGCCTAAATACTGTTTTTAGGTTGTCGTTTTGTCATGGATCCAAAGAACATAGAATTACGTCGACAATATCCCCACTTCAGAACTGACAAAGAGGAACAATTAGATACGATTTGTATTATTTGTCGAGTTGCAAGAGTAAACGTACAAAGTAACAAACGTCATGACTGAGCAGTCACAACATTGCGTTGGGGCATGTCTCTTTTTCCAAGCACAGAATGTACTGCTGGACTGACTGCGTAGAGTTTCAGTTTAAGTACTTCGCTTCCCACACCATACGGCCCTTAGCCCTTTCGCCCATGGATAATGCTACAACGTTAAGGGGGGGGGGTAGTCATTGGGACGGGCAATGGTTACAGGAGTCATTGGATACAGACGGCCAAGAAAGACTCCCCTTCTCCTACCGAATCTGCTTAGAGATTAGTTGAAAACGGTATTGACGACAGCCTGCCATTTTTGAGCGAGCATAAGTGTACACATAACATCTCCACGGCCCATTGGTGTTCAAACTCCAGGTTCAAGTGTGCATTCAGCTGCAATTATACAATCAAGTGTCTACATTCCTGCACGTCAACAATGGGGGAATCACGCAAGAAGTCCTCGCTGCTGTAAAAAAATTGCATTCTAAAATTTGCCACAGAAATGAAAATGTGCAGGAATGAAAAGAGGAAAGACAGGAAGGCTCTTCAATGATGGGCGATGAAGAGCCTCTCAAACTCTAGTTCAAGATGAATTCAAAGCTACAGAAATAGGAGCAATTTTAGATGTGTGGTTTATAAATATAAAGTACAGGGTAATTGTTGGCTAACAAGAGTGATTACCATAAAGGTCAAGGTAATATAATTATTGTAGTTGCTCTATCAAATTCTATAGTTTATCTTTCATGAATACCAAAGAGTTAGGTGAGTGAAAAGTTGAGTAACTCATCAGAGAGCAGCTGAACTCAGAATGTAGACAGGTTGGCAACTACACACATCAGATGAAGAGAAGAAGGTTATGAAAGGATGCGGTGGCAGGACAGAATCAACAAAATATCTTGTCCACAGGCATCTATCCAGACAGGACGTACGTCATTTGTGTGGGTAGATGGATATCTGTAGCTGCATCTGCCTGGACAGCTCACGCCAAATTGTGCTGATGAGACCGGCCGGTACATCAGCCGCGGGCGTCGGAGCACCTGACAGCCGGGTCCCTGCCACACGTGTACCGGCTTAGTTGAGATGATCGTACGATGTTTACACGAGAAGGCTTTGTCTCGGGTTTACCCCTGTGACTAAAGCTTTTAATGGATCGAGGCGCTTTAGTCAACATAAAGTGAAGGTTCTTCCAATTCCAGAAAGGTCGGCAGCTGCGGATTCAGGAAAACAGCCGTAATCACATGCATCAAGAGTAGGCGGCATCAAATAAGGATGTCTTGCCGCCAATTCGTATGAAAGGTCGTCATCGTTGGTAAAGAACGCTGTATGAAGAATGTCGATGAATTCGAAGGTTAGACATCCAGTTAATGAGCGAGGTGCACGAGGAAATTGTTACTCAAGCAACTGGATAGATTTGTATGAAGAGTTGTACGACGAATGTTGCACTTTCAAGCCTAAAGATTGGTGAATTGTTTTATTTGAAGTTTGGAGTTAAGTTAGTCCAAGATGCCATTCCATTCTCTGTACGTGAAGTATAGAATCTAATCTTTGGTGTTTACGGCTGGTGGACCATCCCGGGTATGTGCAGACGATATCACTTTGCCGCGTGGCTCTTAGCTCAATTTCCTCTCGCTGCTGTTTTATCGGGATCGGTTCTAAGAATGTCGACACCGGGCTTCCCTGACAGAAGCCAGACCACCAGGGGTCAGTAGGCTCTCACCCTGCCTCGGGGCACAGCAGATACAGGTCACCGAGACCTGCACTGGAATAACACCACACGTAGTTATAGGGGAGAGGCTAGGCCGGGAGCAATCTCAAAGCAGCTCTTTTTGGTGGCTGCAAAGACAGTATCAAATTGGCCAGGCAGTATCCATAGGCCAGACAGTTATATATAAACGTTGGCCACTGGTAACTGTCTGGCAAATGGATACTGCCTCGTCAATTTGACAAGATCTTTGCAGCCACCCAAAAGATCTGCTTTAAGATTAAGGGGGAGGGGGGCGCAGCTACTTTTCCGTGCCTTGCGAGGCGAGCGTTTGCTTACGTCACGTGACGTAACACAGGGTAACGCTGAAAAAGTCCAGAACAACCAGAGGAGGATTACACAGTTCCTGTTTATCTTGTTGTACTTGGCCGTCAGATAAAGAACACCCGATACCACGTGCACCGCTGTACACATGTCGCATGGCCGCATCTTACCCAGTATGCACCGCGTGACCTGAGATAACTTAGGTCTGGACAAAACCAAGAAGCGTGCAGATAAACTGAACTGAAAACAGTTAGCTACTAGCGTAAAAGAACCCAACAAACGTATTGAGTAGAGTAGGGGCGACCCGGTGTGCTTGTCTAAATACCTACTAGGCTAGCCACTAGTACCTTACATTATACCTAATTTATAAGCTTCACTTTAGTTTAGGATGACAAAAGAAGAGGAGGATGTGTTTAGGTACCTTACTTGGGCCAGCATTTGAAAATAGGGGGAATAAAAGTATGTAGGTAGGTACGCATGTTCAAAGTAGGTTTGATTTAAAATTGGGTTGTCACTGTTTAAGTGATCAAAGTGTGGGTCCATACAAGGAGCTTTCATCAGCTCCTTGGTCCATACGACAATTAATAAATAACAGTAATTGCCTTTACCTAACTCGTATGTCACCACCGGGTATTGAATGACATAAATACCTAATAGCGGGACATTGCGGCATGTGAAGTGAAAATGAAATCGATGGAAAGTCGATACGCCAATCAATATGTCCTGCAAGCTTCAAAAGAGAATACGATCCTTCTGACGATATTTTCCGTGTAATCTGCACAGGCTAACTATCTTTGTAATTAAAAGAAAAACCATAGTCATAAAGGAGCATCACTTCGGTAGATTGATGTAGAAATGGGGTGACTTGAGGTTTCACCGATAAGGTAGCCCCTTAACAGATAGTAAGAGAAAAGAATTAAAGGTATTCTATCGAATTTGGCCGGCATCCAAAAAGTGGGTTTCTTGTAGCCAACGTTTCATGTAGCCCACGTACGATGAAGTTTCCGAGAAATTTTACCCTGCACTTTTATGTTTAATGGAACTGAAATGAAATCCATTTCGACAAATTGCGCTTTTAACCTAAAAACCTCACGAGGGTTGAATTGAAGATGGATCGACCACTTAATAACGTCCTTCCGTTTGATATTAACTCAGCATTTTCTGCCAAGGCTCTTCGATCGAATTGACAGGTGACAGATAAAACTCGAAAGATGGGGTGGAGGTAAAATGTGAAGTATTTTGTGCCAAAATCCTGTTTTGTGCCCAAATCCTGAAGTACCGTCTTGTTGGTCTCGTCCTTATACGTTTGTATAAGAAGTTTTTGTTGCAAATAGTTGCGCATTTTGCTGTATGCTCGTAGTCTGGGCGCCATTCTAGTTAGCTAGTTTACTGGTGCTCTCATGCCCCCCCCCCCCCCCAACATTGAGTCAAGGCAAACAAACGTATTAGGATTGTTATAGCCTCCCATTGGTGAGTATATTTGCCCGAAAACAGCAGGATTTATCCCCGAGGACATTGTGTTTTGTGCTTTTCCGCGGAACAGCTAGTCAAGGCGAGTTCACGGATGCCTTTTCTAACAGGTGGGCACAGAAGCGGGGTTGTTGGCAGTTTTGGGTCAAAGCCACGATGTCTGAACCTCCCGCAGAGCCGGGGCAGACATGGCCGTCTGCCAGAGGTCTGTGAGCTGTCACTGGTCCGTCACCGTGTGGGGGAAAACAACCACTCCGCCAATAGATATCAGAGTTCTCTTACACAACTTTGGGAAAGAACTTTCCAAGCTAATTTTTCTGCTAGCTCCCTTGAAGTTCCAATGACAACTTCTCACCACCGATAGGCATGTACTGTAACAAGAAGAAATACTGACTCAACGTGAAATAATCCGTTTGTAGGATTTCAGGAAGGCCGTTGAATGCCATCTACTTCTAAGGCTATCATCGTCATCTAGAGACCTACTGGTTCAAGCAAATGAACGTCATTCCACATTTAACGGTTCTACATACATTGCATTGCCCAACACTATGGGCATTGAGTATTACATTGATCTTTTTATCACCGAAAAGTACTTCTTTAAGAAAACGGGGAAGGTGTTTCCGGACTTTGTGGAAAATCAGTGGCTTGAATCTTCTGGACCCTTCGGTGGTTTCCTGAGTGATGGGGAGGGTTGAGATACCGATAAGTGGTTCCAAACGTGCCATAATGAGGTACAGGCCGTCAGTAAAGGTCTCGGGAAGGAGGAGGTTAGGTCACAGGATAACTGCAGGGGTGGTCAAACCCCCGTGTTGTGAGTAAACTGTGGGATTTGCGCTAAGCTGACGGAAAATTGCTGATACACTCTTGACGCAACGCTTCAACTAGCCAACACAAGTCAACGCTTTTAAAGTCGAAGCAGCAAAGTAATCGGCTCAAATTCAAACACATTGTACGAGCCTCAACGGAAAGTCAACATTATACTTCTCACAACATATACCACCGGTAGACTTTAAGGATTTTTTCGCTCAACAATAGATTTAGGCTGTTCCTTTGGTCGACAATGCTGGTACTCCACAAAAGAGTGAACGTCATGTTAGCTTTAGGGGTTCTGAATAAGATGTAAGAACTTCAAGCGCGTTTTGAAGATCGGTATAGGTCGCGAGCTTAGTTGTCAGGGGCAGCCATATTCCATTGAAAAACAGCGATCAACAAAAGAAGACAAACTGTACGTACAGTTGTGTAAGAAGGCGATAGCAGGCATTAGTTCGTTTCTTAAGATAATCGTCTGTAAACTTTGATCTTGTATCCACATCTTGTTTATAACATTTCAACGACCCCTAACTGTGCCATTGCGTCACAACGCCGTTGGAAGAGGACTTCCTTTCTTACAAAAACTTCCTAAAGCTGCTACTTCAAGATACTGTAACATTTCTGTGACTAAGCCGGGAAATACATAATCAGGATGAAGCAAACATAACGCAGTGAGCACAAACGTCATACGCCAACGCATCCGGATAGAACCGGATTACAACATATGGAAAGCTTTACGTAATGTGTTTTGTTTCCTTTCCTTACAGCGCTTTTATGGACAGTTTGCGTAATAACCTTACCTTCTACTCTCAGCACACTAACGATTCAAACATGTTTGTGATGTAAAGACTTACCATTTATTCGTTTATTACGAAACCTTTTAGCCCTGCTGGGCTAGTCTTCCAACGCTCAAACACATTTAAAATGACATAATTACATGGCACAGAAAAAGTACAGTAAAATTACTTTAAAAGACATAATTACATCACAAAATCAACGATTAACACACAAATACCTTACCTTCATTAATTACGACGCTGGAAAGATGTCTTGGCGGGAAACTGTTTTTCCTGGTGCGGCACGACTTGAAACAGGTGTTCGTCTGGGCGAACCTCGCTTCAGAGGTTTGGCACTCGTGCGGCGCGATCAGACGGCTGGTTGCTTCGTTTCTGAAAGAATCGCTGAGAAAAAACAAGTTTCAAACGCGTAGCACAAGGTTTTCTCAACACTGGTTTTGAGGGAAATGGTCGCAAACGCCGGCCTTGTGCTGTATTTATAGCGAGTATTTACATTCTTGTTCTGCGAAGTGTCGCCGTTATCAGACGACAGCGAGTGCCATACCAGAGAAATTACGTGAGGGAAAGAGAGCACAACTACAAATTACGGCTTTCACTTCAAACGGAAGGCTTATCTGTGAGCTGATAACGGTTTCGCGGTGTGATCTTTCCCGTGCCATATTTGGGATGAATCTCTCCAGATCGTAGGTAGTTTCCAAGTTCGTCCAACGGTTAACATTGAACTTCCTTTAAACCTTATCAGTAAAAAAAAAAGGACAAGATTGTCAAGTTTTGCACGGTTTCCGCTCTTTGGGGCATTTTTGTTCTGTCGCGTGAGTGATGGCTGATTTTTTCCCGCCAATTTTCGTGAATGACTACCACATGGCGGTGGCCGAGAGCTGTGTCTATCATGACTTAAAACATCCGTCTGTGGCTTTTGAGAATTTCCAGAACCAACCGCAGGTTGTCATAAAGAATTTTCAATAAAAAAAACAGAGAGACCTAGAAATACGTCGTTTGCAAAGCCAGCGCTGACAGCCTTACGCTTTCAAGATTAACCAAGGAAAACGATACAAATTACTGCATCAAAACTCAACGGTAGGCTCGACGATCAGGACAAAAAGTTATTTTCTCCAACAACGAAAACAAACTTCCATACCGGAAAATTATTGAAAAGAACGCAATTTTACAGAGTCACAGTTGAACAGTCTCTGTACAGTGCTTTATAGCAACTTATGATAGATGCATATTCAGAAAACCAACCTTGAACAGCGTTTCGCAGTGACTTCTGCGGTGTAGGATGGTATCGCGTCCCGTCGAGTCTCTAGTTCTTGTACCCTGGCTCAGTACGGTAGAACTGAGAACAGGCTGTGCTGAGAGCCCCCTTTATATCCTCATCCACCATCTCTCATCACTCACAACCGGAGGGTATTGTAGAGGTTTACATACTACCTATCTCTTATACGATAATCAGATCAATGAACTGCTTCCGCTGGATGTGCCCAAACCCCTTCAGACCCTCCGACAATGACGATTCTTTGATTTTTCAAGCTTCCTAGAACTGAAGGGCTCGCCCACGCGTCTAGAACAAGGCCTTCCGTCCCACCGGAAAACTTGAGCGGTTGCCCACTCCGGAAAAATTATCACCTGTTAGATCGCGTAGTAGGAAGCGAAATCCTTGATGAAGTATTACACAACAGTTATTTCTGCTGCGGTGTTATGGATAGTCCTCGATAACAATGGAAACGGTTTCAAACTGGAAACCTTTTTTGGTAGGTCGGTGATTTAGCGGAAGTTTGGACAAGGCTGTACTGTGTACAACAAAGGGGAATGTTGGAGCCAAATTTAGCGCGAGGTTGTCCGGTGCGTCCATGTGTTTGTTGTTGCGGTGAAGAAAATGTCAGACGGACGAAGACAGGCTGACGGGCAGCCGGTCATGATGCGCGCGTGTAAGGGTCTACTTCTGAGACTCACATGTACATTTTCAGATAGAACTACATACACATACACAAACACGCACATATACACGCACATACAACGCCACACACACACACACACGCTCGCACGCACGCACTGCGGCACACACACACACAGCACACACACACACACACACACACACACACACACACACACACACACACACACACACACACACACACACACACACACACACACACACACACACACACACACACACACACACACACACACACACACACACACACACACACACACACACAATGACAAAATAATGTATGCCTCTCAAACTCTAGTCAACCATCGCATCACCGGGCCACCCAGACGGTGCACCCGACCTTGCTCCGAAACCGCACTAGGCAAGACGTTATCACTCTGATAGATACGTTTTAACAAATGACATGTATACTAAGATCTTTTGATACTCGCACGTTGATGATACATGTACATGCAAAACCGGTGCATGACACAAAAATTAAAGAGATTATAACAACACAAATACACGTAAGCTTCTAACAAACATAGACACTGGTAGAGACAACAGGCAAATTAGTGTCAATGGGAAACATTTACATATAGATTACAGAGAGGAGAAGGATGTTCTCATGACCACAATGATTTGTTACATGTCATAATCTGACATTGTTGTAATACTTGTATAGGACTTACAAATGTTGTCAGAAATAGATTGGAACATGATTCTAAACAGGTAGAATGGATGGCGCTCATTAAAGCATGTTAATGACTTATATATGGTGTTTGGGGATTAACCAGAAATGTTTTTGTTTCGAATTCTAAGAAATAGACTTCCTCTTCTGTTAAAGCTGTCAAGTCAAAGTAAGATAAAATGTACAGATTAGAACATCAAGTCAGCTTTAAAGGCCATATGACGTCAGTAGAAGGCATGTTTCTTGTCAGGAAATCTTTCATTCATTTCCTACTGTATGTACGACTTATGAACTTTTACGGTGTATTTTTACAGTTTATTTTAAATCGATATTTCTGCCAGCTGTGCAATTAATGTAGAACATGTAGCCAATTTTATAGATTTTGATTTTGCAACATAATGTCATCTCTCATATTTTCGCCGAGTAACTCTAGGTAAAATGTGTTATTAAGGCCTTCCCTTAAGTAGGATTGCCTTGAACACCTGGATATCTTAAGTGCCCATACCTCAAGAATTAGTGATAGTGTATTAGTAGATCTATCTAAATTCATAACTAGATACAATACTATAACACACTCGCTCCTTCCCCCACTAACCTACGTCCTGGGAAACCGAGAACCGACCATATCTGTCTCCTGACGGAAGTTCCCACATATCACAAATGCCTTCACAACAAGCATTTCCTTTCTCTTAACATTTTATAGGCACTTTATACACCAGGGTTATCTATACTGCCATTCTGCGCTGGCGGGCCGGGCATTTTTGTTGCCACCTACACACGTTGTTGGCATTTCTCAAAAGAATACTTGCTAACAAGCACTGAGCTAGAGGTGTTGATGCCACTTAAATCTAACTATCTAGGTTTAGAAGTTAATTCCATTAAAGATGATACGCGTCGCCTTTACTCAGTTATCTACTCGCTTTCGTGACAGTTTGGATTAAGTGTCAACCGTTTTCTGAGAACTATTCTTTAATTTCTAACAGTTGCTCTTTCTTCTCGAGGAGAGAAAATGTTTCACAATTGTTCAAATGCAAAGAAACAGTCCATCATTACTGGTACTGCGTTTGGGGACATAGCCAGGTTGACGATAGCCTGGCAGCCAGGCGTCTTCCACGGTAGTCTAGATGCTAGACTGATTCCAGGACCTACAAAGGACAACTCATCGGCTCTCGGGCCAACATACCCCCAAGAAAATTTAAACTCATGTCGTCCCTACAGCCGAGGAACTGGCCTGTATAGGCCATCGAAACTAGCCTGAGTACGGACTAGTCGACTGTTAGCTAGTTTCGATGGCCAGTGTACAGGCTAGCTCCTCGGCTGCAGGGCCAACATGTCCCCAATGAAATTTTACTAGACACCCAGGGTCTACCTAAAGGGATGACCTGATAACAGTCTGGCACCCAGACTACCGGCACAATTCGCCTGGGTTCCAGGCTAGGTTGACGCCATCTGCCTCGCGTTATCCCCGGACACGTGTATGCCGCGTGCCGTGCGGTGACTGCCCGACCCCGGCTCGTGTGCTGGCAATCCCCGCCACCCGCCCGTCACTTACAGCAAGGTCAGGATCAACCCTGAAGGGCGCACGGTCTACGGAATGTCGCAAATACGCAGGAAGAGTCAGTGTACCTGGACTCACTACAAAAACCTCTTTCAAAGACTCTCATAACACTATGACTCAACCTTCGCAAACACAGGATGGTTCAGTTACTTTAGAATAAAATTTTAGCTTAAAATCAGATACAAAATATTCCAAGTCCAAGTTAAAATTCATTGTTCAAACATGTCAGAGGACAAGTTATAACGAACTAGCACGGAAGTTGACGGAACTGGCTGGAGAGCCACAGCGACAATCTATGATGATGATGATGATGATGATGATGATGATGATGATGATGATGATGATGATGATGATGATGATGATGATGATGATGATGATGATGATGATGATGATGATGATTTTAAAAAGGGTTGAATTTTAGGACACCCACTAATCCACTATCAGTAGTCCCTGGGATATGGACACTTCAGATATGCAAGACATTCTGGAGAAACTCAAGGAACACCGTTCATTTTTATGTGGTTGTTTTCTTGATTTTTTTTTTCAAAATCGTCCGCGCGTCTTAAGGTCGAAGTCAGCAACTTCGGAGGTGCAAAAACTTTTATAGCTGATGATGAATGTGATAACATGGCATCAGCAGATAGTAGTAGAGTAATCCAAATGACCTTGAAGTTGCGTGGCCAGGTTCATCACCGCTGCCCGAGGCTCTTCACTGCCGCCCTGAATCCACAGTTTGGCGGATCACCAGGTACTGGTGATTACCTAAGACTGCATGCCAGCAGACAAACAAGCAGGTTTGACACCTTGTTAAAATCATCGCTAACAACTGCCCGTTTAAATCACCGCCCCCAGGCACCGTGCACTGGGACTGGAAACTTTTTAACTACAGTTGTACTTACTTTGTCCAGTCTAGTCATTTCCGCTGTAGCTAAACCTGAACGTTTAGAGCGGAAGAAACAAACGATTTATAAGCTTGGAAATTGCAGATAATAGGTAAAGCAGCTGTAAGGTATTATTGGAAGAATTTCTAGTAATTTTGGCGCGGTCGCATTCTTCGTAGGCCATCGTGCGATTTTTATGTCGTAATTTTTCAAGCAGGTTATGACTGAAATAACTTTTACAAGGTTCCTGGGCAGCCTTTTTCAAGAATACCCTTAGTTTGCAAGATGGTGAGCTACGCCAAAGGGTGGTTTAACAGGCATGACAGATACAGATACAGAATACCCTTTTTATCGTACGATGATAGAATGACCAATGTTGCCAGGCCGTTCGCGTTTCTTCTTGGAACAACCACTTGACGCAGAAGTTACGATTATTTCTGTTATCAATGGCCGTTTTGGCGTTTTGGCAAATTTGCCTGTATCGTGACAACAATAACACGACTAGGTCGCCTCCTGGATTACTTTTGTAGCTCTGCTTTGGCCAGTTTGAAATGTCACCGCTGACGGTGTCTGCCCAGAGCCGCCGGATGTCAGACCTAAGTCCACCGTCCGCATCCGCCGTGCGATAGGTTTACGACAACAGATTTAGGACGCTGCTAAAGTCGATTGTGGATGTGTCGTTTTAAAAGTCTGAATACGGAAGGGGTTGCCGTCTTGAACTATGTCGGCAGGTAGGAGAAGGTTCCAGGTAAACAATACTTATACACATTATATAGACACTTCAGAGTCTACTACTGCATACATTTCGGAGATTACTTCTGGACGTTTCAGGTGACATCCATTACTCTTCTTATAACGTTATATATAAACACTTAAATATGATTCAATCACGAGTCTTTGGCATGTTCAATCGGTTTTTCCAATGGATCAGCATAGTAGTAGTAGTAGTAAGCCTTTATTTAATCTCGAATGCTTGTTCGGTACATACCGCTTTTCAACAAGGTCGAGGGTGAGGGCGGGGTCACGGAATTACAGATCAAACCAAAATATAATACAAAATCAAAACAAAATGCAAACCAAAATATAATACAAAAATAAATAGCAAATCATCAGTCCGTTATCAGTCCAAGTTCCTTGTCATACTTCTAAATGTTCCCAATGACTGGGCTGCTCGTACATGTGGTGGCAAGGAATTCCACACAGTCGCCCCCGAGTACCTCAGTGACCGCCTGTACACTTCCAGTTGGGGCCTCGGTATGATGAGGTTGTCCAATGTGCTCTGTCTGGTGGATCTGGAGGCTTCATCTCTATACCGGAT